TTCGACTTGTCCGTCATACTGGTGTGCTGGTGACATCTCTTTACTCAAATCACAGGGTATATTCTGAACCCGTTGGAGAAGACAAAATGCAAAGTATCACCAGCACACCATAAATATGGGTCATGTATTCACCACGTTTCCAGGCCACTAAGGAGCTCTTCCTCAGGCAGCAGTCACAGTTCACAATGACAGACACAAAGTTTAAATATCCCAGATATTGTTACAATGGTGTGCCGGGGACACTTGGCAGTTTGGACTGGTATTATGACGGTGCCATCCCTCATTTCACCTATGTACCCGCCATTATCCAAGGTCTATGGCTGTGCAGAGTGCACTGGATTCTATGGAGATCTGACGCGGTGGAGAGCGCTGACCGGAGAGATTGCCTTCACTTTTCTCTCCCACCTGGAAATGATGGGAAATCTCTCCAATGGGGGCACAGTCAACAATAAAAACACAACAGGGATCCTATTCCCCTCTGTTCAGAAATATCATCTGGAGTTGCCCTTTAATCTAGCCATCACCCCCCCCCCCCCCTACTATCGCCGCCGCGCAGAGCCCACATCTACCCATTGTTTGCACTATCAAGTAATGTTTCCTGGACTCCGCTCAGTGATTGCTCCTGTACACGAAAACTGTGTCCAACCGATGACACAACTCCCCCTCCAACCCCCCGTCCTTACAATAGGAGGGGGTGGGAGCGGCTGTGGGATGAGCCTTAGACCACAATGAATGGAGGGCTGCCAGCAGGAGGGGAGCAATGAAAATGCCACAGTGCACTTCCCTGCCCAGTGCTACAGAGCGTTCCCAGCACTGATCTACAGATCCATACTGGGGACTGAGAGGAGATATATGTACATAGGGCTTAAAGAGAACCTGTCACAGGAGAAATACAGAGGCTACCACTGCCAAACCTTTCCTGGAAATGCTAGCTGCCTGGCTAAGCTGAGCTACTGGCTTCAGTGCCTTCTGACACTGACAAGATCAGAAAAGCCAGAAGTCATTTTATTATTATTTTGTATATTTTATTTATTTTATTGTATTTGAGCTGAATGCGTGTAAGTGACGCAAAGTACTGGAAGCAGATTGTGAGTAAGACAGCCAGGCGCCTGATATTTCAATAATGACAATCTCCGTGCTTTTTGCTTTGACTGATTTCTTTTACATTGGATCTAGTAGTAAAACATTTTTGGATAGTGCATGGAAGAGCTTGAGAGCCCATTCACACCAGGGCGGCTGCGGATCAGCACGGTTACCGCGCTGATCTGAAAAGGGAGGTTTCAAGAGTTTTTAATTGTGTTTCAGCGCTGACACACAATAAAAAATGGCAAAAACCGCGCTAATCAGCGCGGTTCGATTGAATGCTTTATGGAAACCTCAATGATTAGCGTGGCAAAAATTGCGCAGGGAGCCGTTCGGGCGAAGGTGGAGGGTGCGGTTTGGATTGCGCGAAACTGCGCGGTCGCATGAACGGTCCCAATAGCAATGTATGGCGGATCCGTGCGGCCGAACCGCCCCGGTGTGAACGGGGTCTTAGGCCAGGACGGAGGGCCGCGCGGTCACGGAGTTGCACACCACCGCTGATTACACTGGCGGTGCCATTATTATCTAATGGTAACCCATTCACGCCTGCAGATTGCGTGGTTTCCCGCTGCGATTCCGCCCGTGGAATTGTGCGCAATCGCAGTTAAAATAAAAACGTGCGGTGAGTGCCGCGTAAGAAGGTTCATGTCCTTATTTTCAGCGATTGCCGCGCGGATGTAACCCCATTGAAATAAACGGGGCCTCGCGGCAACTGCTGTGTGCAACCGCACACGATCGCGGAATCCCCCAAATCTGCACCAGCCCCAAAATGCTGAGCTGATGTCGGGAGATTCAACCTCTCTTTTTGTCCTGGTGACCACTGCCGCTGGAACAGGAAGTGAAGACAAATCTCTACATTAAGAACGCAGAACTGACGTTGGTTCTGATTATTCCCAGACCGCCACAGGCAGACAGGATTTGTAGTTTCACCTGCAGCGGGAGTGCCGGAGTTTGCCTACCGGGCCCTACAAGATCCAAAATAAAAATATCTTTTGGCTTTGGATATACTATGAGGAGTGGACATGAAGCCGACATGTAATAATAGTAATTCCCGCGTTGCCTATTGGAAAGTAAGCTGGAGGAGGCTAAAAAGCCTCATTAAGCAGGCTCGGCCTATTGGCAGACGGACTCTTCAGGTCACTCCGGCACTAAGTTAGCACTTTGCTCCAAGCACTGTTATTGGATAATGGAGGTAGAGATGGAGTGTGCACATACAAAGCAGCCAATACAAAGTGTCCTATATATCTACCCGCAGGGTCACACAGTGATGTACATACATGGTGGGAAAATGATAAGCTCAGATACTGACTGTGCTGCCTGCATCTAAAAAACGGCACTGTGTCCCCACGCATAGACAGTGCCGGGATCAGTGCTGTCACAGAGATCCTGCACATATGCACAGAGCGGATGACAAGTATATGCACAGTGATGCTTAGCGTTACACCTCTGTGGGCCAAGGTAACCTGCCACACAGTGATGTATACATGAACACAGTGCAAGTCCATCAGCCTGTATGCAGAAAGTGACCCTGGGTCTGTGCAGGGGTACACTGCGCTTTAACTCAATGCCGGCTCTGGGGACATACAGATACAATGTGCACAGTGCCGGCTCTGGGGACATACAGATACAATGTGCACAGTGCCAGCTCTGGGGACACAGATACAATGTGCACAGTGCCGGCTCTGGGGACACACAAATACAATGTGCACAGTGCCAGCTCTGGGGACACGCAGATACAATGTGCACAGTGCCGGCTCTGGGGACACGCAGATACAATGTGCACAGTGCTGGCTCTTGGGACACGCAGATACAATGTGCACAGTGCCAGCTCTGGGGACACGCAGATACAATGTGCACAGTGCTGGCTCTGGGGACACGCAGATACAATGTGCACAGTGCTGGCTCTTGGGACACGCAGATACAATGTGCACAGTGCCAGCTCTGGGGACACGCAGATACAATGTGCACAGTGCTGGCTCTGGGGACACGCAGATACAATGTGCACAGTGCTGGCTCTTGGGACACGCAGATACAATGTGCACAGTGCCAGCTCTGGGGACACGCAGATACAATGTGCACAGTGCTGGCTCTGGGGACACGCAGATACAATGTGCACAGTGCTGGCTCTTGGGACACGCAGATACAATGTGCACAGTGCCAGCTCTGGGGACACGCAGATACAATGTGCACAGTGCTGGCTCTGGGGACACGCAGATACAATGTGCACAGTGCTGGCTCTTGGGACACGCAGATACAATGTGCACAGTGCCAGCTCTGGGGACACGCAGATACAATGTGCACAGTGCTGGCTCTGGGGACACGCAGATACAATGTGCACAGTGCTGGCTCTTGGGACACGCAGATACAATGTGCACAGTGCCAGCTCTGGGGACACAGATACAATGTGCACAGTGCCAGCTCTGGGGACGCAGATACAATGTGCACAGTGCCAGCTCTGGGGACACAGATACAATGTACACAGTGCTGGCTCTGGGGACATACAGATACAATGTGCACAGTGCCGGCTCTGGGGACACACAGATACAATGTGCACAGTGCCAGCTCTGGGGACACAGATACAATGTGCACAGTGCCAGCTCTGGGGACGCAGATACAATGTGCACAGTGCCAGCTCTGGGGACACAGATACAATGTACACAGTGCTGGCTCTGGGGACATACAGATACAATGTGCACAGTGCCGGCTCTGGGGACACACAGATACAATGTGCACAGTGCCAGCTCTGGGGACACGCAGATACAATGTGCACAGTGCTGGCTCTGGGGACACAGATACAATGTGCACACCTACACAGTGATGAACACAGAGGGGGAACCAGTAAACCAGTGTGCAATGATGTTTACATTCTCCCAACAATACGAGCTCTGCGTGCAGTCAGTGCTGGTCTCAGTGCTCACACAGAAGAAGATTCTATACAGTACACAGTGCATCACCCCCTATAAGAACACAGTGCTGCACAGTTATACTGCACATCTACATGCACATACTGCGGCTCTTAGTGCCAGAGCTCACACACATGTTGCGCACATTGCTGCTCTTGGTGCTTACACAGACAGATGTTGGGCGCAGTGCTGCTGTCAGAACTCACAGAAACAAATGTTGGGCGGGCACGGTGCTGCTCTCGGTGTTCACACAGACAGATGTTGGGCACTGTGCAGCTCTCAGTGCTCACACAGACAGATGTTGGGCATAGGGCTGCTCTCAGTTCTCACACAGATGCTGGGCACAGTGCTGCTCTCAGTGCTCACACAGACAGATGTTGGGCATAGGGCTGCTCTCAGTGCTCACACAGACAGATGTTGGGCACAGTGCTCACAGACAGATGTTGGGCACAGTGCTCACACAGACAGATGTTGGGCACAGTGCTGCTCTCAGTGCCCACACAGACAGATGTTGGGCACAGTGCTGCTCTCAGTGCTCACACAGACAGATGTTGGGCACAGTGCTGCTCTCAGTGCCCACACAGACAGATGTTGGGCATAGGGCTGCTCTCAGTTCTCACACAGATGCTGGGCATAGGGCTGCTCTCAGTTCTCACACAGATGCTGGGCACAGTGCTGCTCTCAGTGCTCACACAGACAGATGTTGGGCACAGGGCTGCTCTCAGTGCTCACACAGACAGATGTTGGGCACATTGCTGCTCTCAGTGCTCACACAGACAGATGTTGGGCACAATGCTGCTCTCAGTGCTCACACAGACAGATGTTGGGCACAGTGCTGCTCTCACTGCCCACACAGACAGATGTTGGGCACAGTGCTGCTCTCAGTGCTCACACAGACAGATGTTGGGCACATTGCTGCTCTCGGTGCTCACACAGACAAATGTTGGGCACAGTGCTGCTTTCAGTGCTCACACAGACAGATGTTGGGAACAGTGCTGCTTTCAGTGTACTCACATAGAGCTCCTTGAACTCGGCCTCGTAGAAGAACATGGGCTGTGCGAGTTTCACCACCTCGGAGGTCTCGTCGTCCCCGTCCGGTAGAGTCAGGTCCCCCCGGTGCTCTCCATAGGGGAAGAGCTCCTGCCGGGAGATAGCAGCGGAGAAGCCGATCAGCAGGCAGTGCCAGTGCAGGATGCGGAGCGCCCGGTCTACCATGGCTGCAGATCGTCACTGGACTGAGCCGGGACCTCCCGACCCCCGCAGCGGAGCACTGGGTGGGCGGGGCGAGGGCGGGGCGGAGGAAGGGGACAGGGGCTCACACTGGACAGGGGGCTGTCAATCACAGCTGGGCACACTCACTGGCACCCAAAATAATCAGAAACACAAAAATAGACCAAAGTGCTGCACGTACAGTCAGATGATCCCCATGGCAGGTTACTAGAGGAAAGTGGGAAATCCTAATAACCATCCGCAGTGTACACAGGCTTCAACGTCACAAGCAGGTAAAACATAAGCAGAAAATGTCTTGCTCCTGAGTTGCTTTGCTTGCACCTACACTGACTTGCATGGGGGAGGGGGTGCAGTTCAGAGTCTTATTTCACATACTTTCAGACTACCCCACAAATTTAGTGCAAAGAAAAAACAAAATAGCCATGTACATTACACTTTATACTAGTCATATAGGCATCACATTTGCAGCTATTTTAGAAGCTTTATATCGGCTTTTAAACAACAAAAAATTAAATATCAGGGCATGAGAATGATTGACCCAGCCGGGCAATGTGCCACCAGCTATTCCGATCATCTACTGGCTTCTAGTGACTGAATGATCCAAATTTAATGGAATATCAGTTGAAAATGGCTGTTGACTGGCACTCCAAATGACTTTCCCTGCAGTTTAAATGGTCTGGTAGCTGTAAAATAAAAAAAGCATGCCATGTCATCGTAGGTGATCAAACGCTTCCAAAATTACCAATTTAGTTACAATTTCCATCCCATTCAGCTTTGGATTGGACCAGGAACCTCCGATCGAGGCCGCCAACCATCAAGACGGAGGCTTCCCCAGGCTGGGTGTCACCCGGGGCGATCGCAGGGTGTCACCCACTAGGACAGCCATCGCGCACGTATTTGAAGTCATTACGAGCACAGGTGACATCATCATGTATGCGTGTAATAATGATGTCACAGGTACTTAACTGCTGGTGGCCATCTCAGTGATGGACGCTGGCAGGGAGAGGAGGGGACATTCATGCGGTGGGATATGGTATGCCACCAGGTCCCCTCCTTTCTCCAACAGCTGTCGGACACTCAGTCCACGAGAGAGTGCACAACTTTTCAGTGGGTGTGACACCAAAATGACTGAGAGTCATTTTGGTGTCACCCTCTCTGATGGTGTCACCTAGTGTGGGCCTCACCCTCTGCACCTCCCCCATTGCATCAAGAGTCTCTATTGGAACGGACAACGGTAGCCTCCATGTCTCTTATGATGACGGGTGTGCCACTGTCAGAATACTTGAACCGTGACAGCAGCTGCTCGTCTGCCTGCACTGTTTGCCCAAAGATTTTCCATGCGGCTCGGCTGATTTTGTGATTGAAGGATACAGGATGGAAGGGTGCTGACAGAGGCAGCTACTGTGCAAATTCCTTGATGTACCAGCTGAAATTCGCACAGTGTATGTCCAGCTTTAGAAAGTTGTCACAGGAATAAAGTGACCCCATTGTAAGATTTCCCCTCTATTCCTGTTCTGGTGGCAACTCCAAATTCTGGTCTTACCCTTACTTTCATTCCTGATGTCCTTGGTGATCAGGATCATTTCAGACCGCGAATCTACCTCATGGCAAGACAGACAGCAATAAGAACGTGACACAGGTTCTAAACCCTCACCACTTTTGGTCTAGGGAGCAAAATAAGGAAGTTATACTCACCTGATCCTGAGAGCCGGCTTGCTCTTAGACCGATCCCTGGAGTCTCTACTCCTCTGCTGCAGCAGCCTAAGTTCCGTGAGTCCTCACATCTTATAAACTGTGTATAGGACATGAGGACGCCGAGGAACATACCAACATTGCAGCCCAAGAGGAAACAGGCTGGAGGGAGAGCTGTCACAGCTGGCTGGCTCTGAGGATCAGGTGAGTATATCTTTTGTTATTTTTCTCCCTAGATCAAAACGAGCACTAAACCCTGTGCAGTATGGGGGTAGCCCCACTGCAAGGGTTAAAATACATTTTCGCCAGGGTTCTGCTTTAAAACTGCTGTGATGTCTTTTTTTTATCCATCTGTCACCCCTCCAAAGAATTGTCTTCACTTCCTGTCTGTAGATGCAACAGGAAGATAAAAGAAACCTCTCCAAACTTGTCACTGGACTGTGTCCCCATTTGAAGATGTCCCCTCTTTTTCCTGCACTGGTGACAGTTAAAACCGTTGTACTTCCCATCAGGCCCCATTCACACCAGGGTGGATGCATTTTAGCACGGTTTCTGCATGAATTTTAAAAGGGCGGTTTGGGCTGTTTTTAATCGCGCTTCAGCGCTCAAGCGCGATTAGAAACACCCAAACACACCAGGCACGACAAAAACATATGGGTCAGTGCGAATCCACTTAATGATATGCCACTCGGAGAATCAAGCGCTTTCGTGGCCACACAGGGTCCCCTTCATCAGGCTCAGAGATGACATTTGAAAGCCCACAAATAGTCATTTAAATAGAACTGTCATTTCGGGCACCCGTTTAAGCTCTTTGGGATCTCCAGTAAGGGGTGCTACAGGACTCGTGACGTTTGTAGAAACACCCAAAAACGCGCTAATCAGCGCATTTCTATTTAAATCTATTTGGAATCCGCGCTGATCAGCGTGGAAAAAAGGCTCAGGGAGCATTTTGGGCGGTAGGGGGTTCGGGCCGTAGGAATTTATGGGATCGTTCATGTTGGCGGTTCAGCGTGGAGAAATCCCGTGCGACCGAACCACATTGGTGTGAACGGGGCCTCACTCTTCTCGTAACAATGGTCCCCAGGACGAATGGAGAAGGCGACTCTCCCCAAAGGGTACAGTGGAGTAGATATCTTGCTGCACTCCTTACCGGAGCAGTGGTTAACCTGTAGCGACCACGGATGGCACCGCAAACAACACAGAAATAGCAAAGATGTCAGCAGCACAACAAAGGATTTCAGCAAAAATCCATTTAATGACAGATTGCCATTCAATTACAAGCGCCTTCGGGGGCCTCAAAGGGTCCCCTTCATCAGGCTCCCAAAGGGGACACAGCCAGCTATAACTTCTGATGAGTTCTAACCCCTCACCACTATAAAAGCTTTGGCTTTACATACACTTTATACTCTCCTGTTTCACAAAATGTGTTGTCCTCTTGCCATAGAATGATGTGCCCACCAAGATACTTCCACAATCTCCGGGATTGCTCCTTCTGATGGCACATTACCGCCCGCTGGAGGACAGTAAACTTCTGTAAAACCTCCATTGTTCCCCGTCCTGAACGGATATTTCCTCCGCAGTCTGGGCCCCATTCCAAGCAGCCAGCGTATCTCTGTGGGATAAGGCGCTCTGAACTAGCAGTGACACCGACCCCGAAGCTTGGGGCTTGCTGGAATGTGTCCAGACAAACGTTGCCTTCATTTCTGTTTAAATGTACTGATTATCTTTTGTATCCAATTTATTTACCCGCCCCAATGTACCTCCGAAATCACCGCATAACAACAGCAAAACAAGTCAATAAACAGCATTGTCGTGCTTACACAATGTTACTGCTTCGGGCTGTTATAGAGAATCCCGGGATGTATTGGGGATGGATGTTTATATTTCCAAGTGGTGGAAAGTATACAGTAATACGAGGAGACTCTGAGAGTGATACATGACCTGTGTCAAAGGATCAGTAATCCAAACAAACCTGAAACTGAGGCGGCTGGTTACAGATTTTTAAATCTATGAAATGATCACCGGGCACCCTAGCTTGGATTTGGCGGCACTCCACAAAACGGAGACACCCCTAAAAAATGAGGTGGAGAATCCAAATATATCATGTCTCATGAGAGTGAGTTGGCTTGTGAGTCCCCGATGTGATGGTAATAAAATAAAAAGTGAAATAAAAAAAGGTTTTAAAAAATAAAAGGTAAAAAAAACAAAACAAATGTGTTAAATTCCCCTGCCATGTTGTATATATGAACGGAAACATGCATCGGGTGTGGCTATGTATGAAAACGACCCTGCCAGGGGTCGACCCTACCACTACTTCCAATGGTACTTTCTGGATCTGTGCAAGTACTTCCATGCTATTCACAGAATCTGTCCCAGTACTTCCAATGGTACTTACACAATCTCTGCCAGTACTTCCAATGGCACTCGGATAATCTGTGCCAGTACTTCCAATGGTACTTGCAAAGTCTGTGCCAGTACTTCCAATGGTACTCGCAGAATCTCTGCCAGTACTTCCAATGGTACTCACAGAGTCTGCGCCAGTACTTCCAATGGTACTCGCAGAATCTGTGCCATTACTTCCAATGGTACTTTCAGAATCCATACAAGCATTATCGATGCTACTCGCAGAATCTCTGCCAGTACTTTTAATGGTATTCACAGCATTGCTGCTAGAACTTCCAGTGGTACGCACAGCAAAGATATTTTGGAAATTGTTGTATGGAAGAAAAATTGCCGCCAATGTACTATGTGCCAAACTATTAGCTATAGAGTCTGTAAGCAGTTCAATCTGCATCAATCTGGCCAGCAATGGAACTATGGGGATATATAAAAGTAGACCATTTGCGTTCTGGCTCCCATGGACTGCTGTCCCCGAAGCCAGCAACAATACATCATGGATAAGCTGGCGTTTCTGAGAACGCAGACAAAACAAGACAACCACCATATCGTGCTCCTTCATTTCATCCATCAGAAGAGCCTCTAAGACTCATAGGGGCATTCTCAGGCTGTGGATCTGAACACTGTCTGCCTGCAGCTGACACACATCTAAATACCAGAGATAAGCACACTTCACCCTGACATTTACAAAGAGACATACTACAAGCGTGCTGTCTACAGCGCCTCTACAGGGGGTGGAACAGCTGCACTGACATCACTCATGTGAGGAGAACACTATATATATAAGTGTATATTTAATATACTCTCCAATGCTAAATCCATGTTCAGAAATCAAATGATAGTATACAAACATCAGTCACAAAAAATATAGATAAAATATTATTGCAGTCTTGATGGACCACTGAGGGTTTGTTCACATTGCAACTTTAATAGGGTACCCCTATGATTAAGCCCGTGTTGGGCAAAATGC